CTTTTAGTTTATGTGAAGTTCTTCAGATGGCCCCGTTGTCTTTTGAAGCTTCTAACACCAAGGTGTCTGTTGCAGCCCAGAGCAAGGTTACTGCTACCCAGGACAGCACTAATTTGCGATGTATTTTCTGTGGTAAGCAACATTATGTTTACATTACTTTTTCAAGCTGTGGTACATACTACTTGCGCATTTCCATAACTTTTGTTTCCTTAGGCCATGGTCTGGTTTGTGGTATTTGGGATTTACAGCAAGCTACTGTTTTATGTTGTGATATTTGTTGTGGTTCATGTAGGTGATTTGGTCAGCTTTTGAGTTGGCTTCCTAGCGAGGATTTAGTTAAAATTAGGGTCTCAGAACTAATTCTTGTTCACTTCTTCCAACATGAATGAGAGGGGTTTTTGTTTGTTCGTTTTTGTTTTTAACTATTTTGTTTGAGAGCAGTCTTTTAAATTAGAGTTTTGGGGGAAAGTTCTATCCATCTTACTATGATATCAGGAATGTAATTGGGATTTACTGGAAGGGAGCTTTTGCTTAGCTTGAATTAGTTTTCAAATGTACATGTTGTGAGGCAGCTGTGAGCTCTTTCATGCTTTGATAGGTTGATTTCTGATCGACAGCCTCCTTTATTCAGTAGGTAAGATATCTGGCGTAGGAGTGAATTTAGGCTTATAGTGTGTTTTCTTTCACTCTCATGCTCATATATACACGTGTGCACATATATATGTTGTTTGCATGGACAAACCAGTTATGTCACTTAGCCTTTTTTCCACATTACAGTTAATAAAGTATATGCATATCCTTCTTCTTACACTAGGATATATCTGCATGCATACACACACACACACACACACACACACACACAGACAGACAGACAGACAGACATCTGAATTCCTTTTAGTCTCATTTGATTCTAAAACTTTTGTTTTGAAAACCTCAATTCCAAAAGTGACTTTTAAATCTTACAGACGCAGCCCCTCTCCCACCCCCTGCCTTTGACTCAGATATGCCTTTTTGACTACTGTATACCTTAACTGGCCAGATTATTTTATGAGAGCTAAAATGATAAATACTACTAAAATATTATATGAACAGTTCAGCTGTGTATCTTTATTTTATCCACATGACTCAGAGCTTTTGATATGCTCCTTCAGTACTACTAATATTGTTTCTTTACCCATAAAGAGAATTGTTTTAAGGTTGATATACTTGCTGGTTTAGGCAAGGAAGTATGTGTTATAAATTGCCCCCCAAAATGAAAATTCTGATGCATTCCTTAATCACCTGAGGTTTTATCTTGTGATTGCTCCAGGTGACAGTTACAGGAGTGGGCCTGTCGTGCGGTCCTGTATAAACACTTCACTCCGTCTCAGATTCCTCAGTTAATCGTTGCAGATTAAGTGTTTAATTAGTAACTTTTAATTTTGATTTTTCTGCCTCCTCCTGGGGGTTCTTCCAGGTCATCTTTTGAACTAGCTGCGAGTGTGATTGTTCCTGTTTGTGTTATTAGGACTCTTTAGCTCTTTCTAAAAACCTACTTGATGTTCTATACTTTGCTACTTAATATGTGGGGTTTCACATGCAGAATAATAGATAGAGTTTACCCAGTTGCAGAGAAAAGATTTGGCCTTCATAAAGGTGAATTTTTTAAGCTGTAAAATAATGTGTTAAAAAGCAAATTTCCCCCATTATTACCTTTGATTGATTTAACTGTGTGCAAACAATATAATTACCACATTGCTAAGTTTAAACTTGATTGTATTGTGTATAACACTTATTTGTCTTTTAGTCCTGTGTTTTTAAATAGTCTGTGGCTAAGTGTGAAACAAGATATGTGAAAATTAAAACGTGACAATAAGTGAAATGTGCTTTAGCCAAAACTCAGTACTGAAGTCAAGACTGAAATGCCATTCATTCCTGGTTTAAAGAGATGTTCAGTTCTGATTTCCATCATTTATAAGTTACTGTATCAGCGACATGGACACATTTTCTTTATTAGAATCAGTGATTTACATACTTTGCTACATGAATCCTAGCCAGGACACATTAAGACCAACTGTTGTCTCTGGCTCTGGTAATAAAACAGAAAACTTAACTGTCATAAAGCTCCTGTTCTTTATGATATTAGAGTAGGGACAAAGCAGGTTCACTTGTCTCTTCTCCCTTTTTCCTCCAAAAGAACTGTTGACCAACCTGTGATGCTCATAAAATGTTGTTACTTAACCCACTTGTTAGAAGAGTACCTTTTTTTTTGCATTGTATGAGAACACAGATACTCAGGTAGACATACGACCTGTGTGGAGTAACCAGTAGTTGTGTTATAGGAAGTACAGTGGCAGCTGGCAGCCTTGTGCTCTTAACTGCTGCTTCGTGGTGTGCGGTGCCTGTGGTATAATTCACCAGCTGTGTAGCCCAGTAGAGTGTTGGACAAGAAGAAAGAATGTAATTGTGTACCTAAAGTTCATAATTTACCTAGAACTCTTATTTAAAATCTCACAGTACATTTATATTATTTTTAAATGCACATAAATTTCGATGTGCTTGTTAATTGTGAGTTGACAGTATTGATAAAGAAGAAACAGAATAACCAGATTAAATATGGATGTGAGAAAATGCTGGGGGAGGAGGCTTCTCCTTTTCTGTTCCCACCCCCCCACCCCTTTTAAAGAAAGTTTTTGGGAAGATAACCCATTATCACCAAGAACCATGTAGAAAAGAATTTTAAAGATTGCTTTTTAGTTATTCTTGGATTCCTCCCATTTAAAAAGGATCTTCCTTGTTGTAAACTATTTTTATAATTAGCAATGTTACCCAGAAAATATTACCCACATTTTTTAAAGCTCCTTTTAAAACAAGTTTGCTGAGTAAACTTAAAAGTCAAAACTTAAAAAAAAAAATCCAAATTAGTTTTTATGAATTGCTAAAAGAGACCTTTCTCACATTCACATTTTTTTGTGAGTTATGTCAAACTTTTGTTAGTTTAATTTAAAAAAACCTTTAAATGAAATCAGTAGGATTGAGTTGAGATATTGATATCTTTCTCTTGAATTTATGTATTTGTGTTGAAACTTAACATCGAGAGATTTTAATTGGTGAATTTAATCTATTAATATTATTATTGCAATAATAATTACAGTGCCTGGTATAGATGTGTTAGGATCAAATTTGAGATTGGTGCCAAACAAATCTGACATTTACCTGATTAATTATTTGAAGCCTCATGAGGTTTTAACTTAAATATCCAAACATTATTTTTGAAAATAGTTAAGCCATGATGGTCTTATGAGTTGCCCATGCTAAATACTCAACATTTAATTTTTTTTTTGATAAATATAACTTTGGAAATACTGCCCCCAACTAGTTTATATATTTTCAAAAGTACCCTCCCACCTTGTTTGTCCCCCTCCCTCTGCCAGAAGAGACAAGTAATGTACACTAAACATTAGTGTATGGCTTAAATATGGCAGTCTGTTTTTGTATCATTATCTTGATATCAGAAAGGAGAGAATTCCAGTCTGTTTACTCGACACTATATGTTTTCATTTATACAAACATTTAAATGCATTTTTAATTTTAGAAGCTTTTTGATTTTTTGTTGTTACTGTTCCTGATTGCATGGAATTAATATATTTTTATATTTCCTTTATGTGGCTCTTAAAATAGCAGAGACTTTTAGGAAATCTAGTGAAGTATCATTGCAGTTGTCATCTATAATTTGTCTAAAGAGGACAAATTAAATGATTAAAAACATGTAAAGAGATGAGGGAAAAATTAGTAGGTAAGTTCAGATCAAATTATTTTTCTACACTTGGGATATAACAAGTACTGTATTATATTCTAATGAACCTTATCCTTCTCTTTGTGAAATCTCCACTAGTATAAAATAGATACTTTGTGCTGTTAACTCAGATTTACAAGAATTTGCTTTAGCACTTTAGAAGTATTTATTTATTAACTTTTTTATACTAGTGGTCTATAAAAACACTTTCAAAATATCTGCCAGGGGCCTTTGCCAGCACCCTAGAATTCACAGATATGTACAGCATTATCATTACGCATATATTTCTCTCCAAGAGTGGAAGATATCTACTATTTCTTCATTCTCTTCTTTACTGGATTAAATTCAAGATTGTTCTATTATAACTATAAGCATTGTGTATTAGGTCCAGTATTTTATTTATCTCATTTTGTGACACAATTTTTATATCCAGTGACATTAAAATGTCCCATTGTTTAGTGGCCTTCTTTATGAGATGCTAAAAATGGGTCTGCATTTTATATGACGTGGGAATGAATGGTCATTAGTTTCTCATGACAGAATCGTGTTGGTTTGAATGCAGGTTTTTTGTTTTGTTTTACCCCAAATGAAAAATTGCAGTTATGTCTGTTACATTAAAAGTTCAGATAAGTAGATTAATTATATGTATAAGTTTAGCAAATATTTGTTTTCACCAGTGCTGGAAATGCCAGGCCATTAAATAAGAATGGCAACTTAAAGTGGGCAAGTTTGGTAAATGCATTAGCGCGCATCAGTCTAGTAATAAGGTTCTCATGCTTTCTCTCTCCTGTTTTTCATTTCCAGTGTTCTATTTAGGTGAGTTTTTGAATTCTGATTTTTCATTTAAGTTCTCCCTCTCCACTTCATGAATAAGAACCCCAAAGAGAATGTCTCATTGTCTTAGAAAATGTCAAGCTTAGGTGCCTATTCAGATGCTCATTGAACACTTGTTTTACCCAAGCTCTTCATATATAAATGTTTATTTTTCCTTTATTGTTGATGTTTTCCATTTGTTTCAAGTAAGCCTTCTGGAAATAATGACAGTATTTTGTTGCAGTCTTTCATTTGCTGTGTGTTATATGAAGCTTATATTTTATTTTGCTAAACAAAAAGGAGATACATTTGTAAATATGTGATGGTTTTATGTTATTCTCATTATTTTATCTCCTCTATCCAGCACAATATAAAGATAATGTTCATTTATAATGTTTCCCTCCTTTTTTAGGGCCAACATTGCCTAGACAAAATTCACAACTACCTGCCCAAGTTCAGAATGGCCCATCACAAGAAGAATTGGAAATTCAAAGAAGGTAAATTCCCAAGTTATTATTTGCCCCTGTCTGCTGCAGAAGACCAGTCTGTGAACATCTGATATTGAAAGTGGATTGTGTCTCATCACGTAATATGTACTGTTAAGAAGTCTTTAAGTCATCTTATTTTTATAGCTGTTATAAATTAATCTGTGATCATTATGGCTGTCCAGTGACTAATTTAGAAGGTTGAAATAGTGTTGACTGTATAAGGCACTGGACATTAGATTGGACTTAGTAATGAAGTATATAGTCATTCTGATTTTGATTAAACTGCTGGTTTAATGAAATCAATAATATCTTCATTATTTTCAGTGCAGTGTAGAAATACATTTGAAATTGTAATACAGCTTCATCTAGGGATTGTTTTTTTCTGAATTAGCAAAATAGTCTCTAAATTATAAGCTACTTTATAACAAAACAGTTTTATAAAATTCAGGTACAGTCAGTAACTAAAATTGAGCTAGTCAAACCAGGTGTCCTACTTAAACAAAGGAAAACTTTTTGGAGATGTTGATGTTGCTTTTTGTTACTAGTAGATTACCCCTGTTTTGTTCTGGAGAATTGATAGCCATCATGTAGATGGAATTTTCCAATTGAAAGGCATTTGCTCCATGGCAAGCCAGTATTTTTTATTGTTGTCTTTGATTTGGACCTCACATTTGAAATATTCTGTATATTCTTTATGTTATCTTAATATATGTGCCATGTTTCACTGACAGATGGTCAGGGGATCTCTTGCTGTGGTTCTGTGTTGGTTGCTTTGCTGTGTAACTACTTAGTCCTTGAAGAATACCCTCCAGGATCTCCCAAAATGAGTTTTGTTTTTGACAGTCTGTATCTTCAGATAGTTCCAGAAATAGCCTCCACATTTGGTGAAACTCTGTCTGCTGTGACAGATAAGAATAAAATGAGTTTCTGTAGAAATAAAGAAAATTGAAAGGATGTAATCATTTCAGTTCTATGTTGAAAGTTTTAAACATACTAGGATAATTCTAACAGAAATTGTAATGATCTGTCTCTCACACACACAAAAAGAAAAGTAGTTAATAAAAAATGGGCATAGGGGACTTCCCTAGTGGTCCAGTGGTTAAAACTCTGTCTTTGCACTGCAAGAAGCACATGTTTGATCCATGGCCAGGGAACTAACATCCCAAATATTAAGAGTAGTACATTTGTAGAAGGCTAGGAAGAACCAGGAGAAAACCCTGAACATAGTACATAATCTTTGGGTGATACAAAGTTGGCAAGCAAGCAATCCCAGACACAATTGCTGGAGGCCAGGACATTAGAGAATAGAGACAGAAACCATCTGCTAGTACTGCTGACTCATTCAGGGTCACAGATGGGACATCCGCTCTGCACAGGGCTGTCAAGAACTTGCAGCATACAATTTTAGTTGGAAATGAGTATTTTAAGTGCATTTTTAGTAATTGTTACTAGAACACCATGCCTCATGTATATTTTTTCTCTTTTCAAAGTGTTCATCTGAACTTGGAAGTTTTTCTCTTTGTATATTAAGTAGATGCTTTAGAGTTTGAAAATTGAAGATGTTTACATTACTTACTTGTTTAGTTGAAGACTTGAACTCAGTCATTTTGAAGCATGAAATCTAAACTTCTGAGAAGTTCATATAAATTTTATATTTTCTGTCCACAGTCACACATAGACTATTTTCTCCTTCCACATGACACCAACTAATTTCCTTCTCTCTGCAATGTTAATTTCATCTTCATTCTTTTTCTTTACTCTCCACCCACTTCTTTTTTATTCTCATGGAATCTGCCTGTGTCTCCACAGATCTGCTGGACTTGCCGCTTCCGTCATTTACTTAGACTCATCTTCTCTCAGCCTACACGTGCCACTTCTGTTTCTTCCTTTTGATGCTTTAGAGTCTCTTCTTTTTGCTGACACTTCTCCTTTTCTCTCCTTTTTGTACCTCTGTTTTCTTATGTAAGGTTTTACACTAAACTGTCTTTGTTTTTTCTTTCTGCACACAGTATAACCTTTGAAAAATTGATGGTTTGGTTGGGTCTTGTAGTTTTATGCTGATGGCTTCAAAATCTACAGCTCCTAATTATCCAATAGAGATCTAGACCCATATTTCCAGTGAAATGGACCCTTTTTGAGAATTGGAGGAAGTGGTGAACTACTGCCTCCTTCTATCCTGTCCCCCCCACAGACACACCCTTGAGATATGTGTGTGTGATTATGCACACGTCTGCCCTTACATGGTCCAGAGGATCACAGACCCCCTTAATTCCAACAATGGATCCTTAATGAGAATTCCTGTTGTAGAGCTCATCCACGTGGGTATCCCACTGACGCCTCAGTTTAAACCTTATGATGTCATTTGTAATGTACATTCCTTCTTCTAATATTTCTCCCAGAATTGCTGCTTAGAAAGTCTATAATTATCTTTGTTCATGATATCTATTCAAGTACAGTTTATTCTTTCTTTCTCTAAAAGCCTGTTGGGTTTACTGTTCTGATATTCTCATTGGTAGTAGCTTTCTCCAGTATTTATTCTCTTATATACTACTATAGATTTGACTTGCAGTTTTTCTATCTTTAACCTAGATTCCTTTCAGTTATTCCTACTTTATTACTGCCAGATTAATTTTTTTTATTAAACCTTTTTTGCTCAAACAGTACAGGAGAGTCTCAGGTTGAGGCCGGTAATCTGCTGCACAGTTGTGCCTTCCCCTCATATTAATCACCAGATTTAAACATCTTTAACCATTTCTACCTTAAGTACTTTGGATGAGTTCTTCCATAATAATTTGTTTATATTTCTGTTTCTTGATTAGTCACATTACAGAGAGTAGCTATTGAATCTTTGCTATGAAAAATGAAGATTTCTTTACTTCCCCTGCCAATTATGAGTAGTTACTATTTTTAGTTCCTCTAGAGCTTTGCTGGTAGCTCAGCAGTAAAGAATCTGCCTGCCAATGCAGAAGACACAGGTTCGATCCCTGGATCAGGAAGATACCCTGGAGAAGGAAATGTCAACCCACTCCAGTATTCTTTCCTGGAGAATTTAATGGACAGAGGAGCCTGGTGGGTTACAGTCCATGGGGTCACAGAGAGTCGCATACAACTGAGTGACTAAACAACAGTCTTAGACAATATGTCTTCACTCCTCACTCTGTAAGAGGAGTGCAGTAGTTCTGCACATCCCGCTGCCCCCTCTCTTCCATTCTGCCACCTAGTTTTGGCAGACATGTCATCTTTTTTATTATTTTCAAGGTTTATACATTTGCAGTCTTTCTGTTCCTGTTGTTAAATTTCTGTCTTTATGTTGTAGGTGGTCTTTTTTCCCCCTTCCTAGAATCCATTCAACCTTTTTAGTAACCACAGTAGTCTGAGTTTTCACCAAGATGTGATTAGATTAGGTTTTGGGGTCCTCCCCTATTTATTAAGCTCAATACTTAGTGGACTGTTTCTGTTTAAAACTTAGCCACAACTCCTAGATTTTTAAGAAATTTTAATTTCTGTAACCATTTCCTTATGTTGCTTCCATTCTCTTTTTGGGGAGCTCCTACTGATCAAATGCTAGGCCTCCTGAGTTATTTCCTTATGATGCTTTTTCTCATTTCCTGCCTCTGTTTCTTTGTTCTGTGTTCTTAGTGATATTTTTAAAGATATTTATTTATTTATGGCTCCATCAGGTCTTAGCTGTGGTGCACAGGCTTAGGAGTGCATGGGCTCTGTAATTTGTGGTGCACAGGGTTGGTTGCTCTTAGGCATATGAGATCTTAGTTCCTGGACCAGGGATCGAACCTTTGTCCCTTGTATTGGCAGGCGGATTCTTAATCACTGGACCACCAGGGAAGTCCCTTCTTGGTGATATTTTTAACTGTACGTTCTAGACCAGAACTGTCCAGTAGAAATATAAGCTACATATTCAATTAAAATTTTTCTAGTAGCCATACTAGCAAAAGTAAAAAGAAACATAAAATTATTTTTAATAACTTTATTTTAATCCATTATGTCCAAAATATCATTTGAAAATGAAATAAGTATAGAAATTAGAAGATATTTTACATTCTGTTTTTTCATACGGAACCTTCCAAATTCAGTGTGTATTTTTTTGCATTTATAGCGTGTTTCTGTTCAGGCCGGCCACGGTATAAGTGCTCAAGAGGCATATGGCCCTTGGCCACCTGACTGAACAGCACAGAGGTTGACCTTCTGTAATTCAGCTTTATTCTCCAAGAGCCTTTTGTTGGGGTGCTCTGCTTAGTTGATTAGTCGTGTCCAACTCTTTTGCGACCCCGTGGATTGTAGCTTGCCAGGCTCCTCTGTCCACGGGGATTCTCCAGGCAAGACTCCTGGAGTGGGTTGCCATGCCTGCCTAGGTTTGTTGGGGCAGGAGGGCAACAGTTATTCCTTTTTCAAAACAGTGTGTTCTAAATTCTTGATTGTATCCTCAAACTTCCTTGTTTCTCTTCATTTGCTTGAATTATCTCCTTCCGATAGAGTGATGGTATTTGCCTTACTAGTTTTACTCAAATATCTGGTGATCTTTAGTGGTCTCTTTATCTCTTAAAAAAAAAAGAAAAAAAGAATTGGTCTGAACGACATTAGTACCTGGCTTTGGTTTCCTTGTGGGGTTGGGTGCATATGCACAGCGTTCTTCCTGGGTTGAGGGCGGCCAGGGGTCTGTGCAGGTGGCCAGGCAGACAGACTGACAGGCTCTCCTTCGGGGTACAAGGGTGGGGAGCAGACAGGCCTCAGCCCAGCAAAGCTGAGATACCTGCAGTTCCACCAGACCTCCTAACTTCTCTGAGGCAGGTAGTTCAGTTTGTCTGGTGGACAGGATTCTGTGGTAAATGCCATTTGATCAGTGCCATTCCATCTGTTGAGCTGAGGGTAGGGAGTGGAGGGATGACTGGTGCATTTTCTTCAGATAATGTGTGTGTTTCTTCATCAGATTGATTATGGTTGCGTTGCACAATCCCATTCTCTCTCATCTGCTCATCTGAAGTTAGGTCTTC